AAAGAATCCAACCATAGATCCATAAACCACACACACAGCAACGCAGACTGTGGAATTATGGTGGGTTTATATAATATGTTAGTTTCATGTTCATATAAAACATTTTTGGTGTCAGCTTTTCCTTGTGAATTCTTAGTGCTGTCTGTATTGTGTGAACAGATTGCCAGGCATCATATTCAGAAGAGCTTAATTTACCTCAACCAGAGAAGGGGGAAAAAATCACTTGCGTCCTCTAAAAACAAACATCACATTTAGACATGTGAGTGCAAATGACTTCAATGCATCAGAGTTGTGCCACACTGTCTGGATACTGTATGGAGAGTTTATGCTCTTGCCAGTTCTCTTATCTTGTGCCTGAGAACTGCAACAGCCTTACCTGCTCATATCAAATAAACACCCTCCTTCTCCTTCATAGGCCTCCTATATGCCCTCTTCTTCAAGCCGTCCCTTTTCCTCATCATCCAAACACCTGTTTTCTTTTGTCTTGTGCACTCTTAACTGATTTACATTGTGAGCTTGTAGATAGGGCAGAGGGTCCTGTGGTTACACACTGGATAGGGACTCTGAAGATCTTGATCCAGTTCCAGCACTGTCATGGACTCCCAGTCTGAATTTGAGCAAGTCACATCATTTCTCGCTGCCTCGGTTTCCTATCTGTAGCATGGAACTACTAATGCTGCCTTTCTCTCAGACTTTGTGTCTCTCGTCTGTTCACATTAAAAGCTTCTCAGAACCAAGATTGTGCCTTATTGAGTAACTGTACAGCATGTAGCTGACTGAGTTCCCCAGTTTGGTTGAGGCCTCTTGGCTCTATATAATCCAAATAATAGAAGGGATCTCCTGAGCCTCTTCAGAGATGGCTGGATGGTAAGAGAAGTGATTCCTGTATATAGAAACATAGGATTGGATGTAACCTCGAAAGGTCATCCAGTCTGGTCCCTTGCACTCATGGCAGGATTAACTATTATCTAGACCAGGGGTCTCAAACTCAAATTACCGTAAGGCCAGTGCCAGTTCTCTAATCCTCCTAAAGTCATAACCCCTGCATTGTGGCCTGGACACTGCCTGGGGGGAGAGAAGGAGGATGTGGCTCTGTGCACTGCTGCTTCCCCACAGCCCACAAACCCCTGCCCACTGGGCTGGAGCTGCAACTGCAAGCACCAGGAAGCACCATTGTGTGCATCTCCGGCCTGCAGGCTCAATCCCCACAGCTCCCATTAGCCAGGAATTGTGGCCAATGAGAAATGTGGGGGGATGATGCCTGCAGGTGAATGCAGGCCAGGCAGTGTGCAGGACCCCCTGTCTTCCTCCTCCCTTCCCCAGGGCCTACACTACCAAAGGGGAGCTGCCCCTGTAAGTGCCCTGCACCCCAGCCCCCTGCACTAGGCCTCAGCCCCTTCATGTACCCCACCTCCAGCCCAGACCCCTCACTCCTAACACAGCCTCCTGCCCTAACCCCAACTCTCACCCAGATCCCACCCCTTCCCCCTTCCCTGAGCCCCCTCCCACACCTAAACTTGCACAGACTCCACGCTCCCATCCCAATCTCCTGCCCTGAGCCCCCTCTTGCATCCAAACTCCCTCCCAGACCCTGCACCCCCCCTTGTCCCCTGTCCTGAGCCCCCTCCTGCACTCCAAGCCCTTTCTCCCCAGCTTGGAGCCCCCTTCTATGCCCCTAAAGCCTTATCCCCTGCCCCACCCCAGAGCCCGCACCCCCAGTCAAAGCCCTCACTTCCACCTCCTACACCCAACCCCCTGTCTCAACCCACTGCCCCTTCCCTCATTTTGTCCCCACTCTGAAGCCTATCAAGTCCTAATAAATCTAATAGTCCCAGGTCCCCAGAAGAATTAATCCAGTCCTGCCTGGGTAACACAGTTACTTAACCTCTGGTGTAGACAGTGTTAAGTCAATGGAAGAATTCTCCCATCAACATAGCTACTGCATCTCAGGGAAGTGCCGTACCCATGCCACTGGGAGAAGCTCTTCTGTCAGCATAGGTGCATCTTCGCTCAAGCGCTAGAGCATCATAGCTGTGCTGCTTCAGCTAGACAAGCCCTATATGTTTTGACCATGCTAATTTTCTTAAATGACAGAGCTAATTCCAGCTATTCCATTGGGAAATTATCTCACAATTTAGTACATCTTATTAGAAAGTTTTCCATTATGTATTCAGTCTGAACTTTCCTTTTCTTCCTTTCCATACTTCACTAGAGTGTAATACTTGCTAAGCATACTGTTTAATGGATTGTTTTACTGGAAGTTTTAGAGGAAATATTAAGACTAAGAGCTGCTAGACATTATTCTCTCACACAATCATTAATACCATTAAGGAGATTCATAAAATGGCTCTTGTGAGATCTTACGCCAAGTTAATTTGTTTTCTTTATTTAATGAATTTTTATAGGAAAGATTTCATATCATAAGGACATTCATCAATTAATCTTGTTCAATTAAATAAATATTGTGCTGTGATTTTATTTGTACTGTTAGATTATTCCTCCAATATGTCATTTATCTTTATTGCATTTTCAAAATAGTTGAAAAATAGGAAAGAAAATGGCTTGCTGTTTAAATGATCACGATAAATGAACTTTGTACAACCGAGTATTAGTTTATGAGCCCTGGGGAAGAACATAGCCTTAATTGTGTCTTGTTAAAATTGGCTATTTAAATATTAAAGCCTTATAACTTGTTCTCCCTATATGATTAATCTCCTATTTTCTGATGCGCTGGCTCTTTTATGCTCTGATCATATAAATAGTTTATACAGCGGATCTCATTCTCCACTCGGTACATCCATGTGAATGAGGAAAAGCTCTATGGCAAGCAATAAAAATTTTACTGTCCTAAAACTGGTGTAAGTGAAAGGAGAATTGAGCTCCTCTGTATTTATTTTAAATAATCTTTTTGGGGAAGAGAGGAGAGAAAAATGTCAGAATATTGTTTTCTTTCCATTACAAGTCATCAAACCTGCACTTTCGCACCTATGTCTGATAAACGGACACAGCAGCTTTCAGAATACTTATTTAGTGACATTTTCCCCTAGCTTTTTGAGGCATCTGTAATGAACACAGTTTATGCTTCACTTCAAGGAATCAGGGCAGCTGATGCAGATCATAATGGCAAAAACAGCAGCAACAACGGGGCCCTGGGTGTGCTAGACATGTCAAGCGGCTTAATGAATTGTGTTCATTTTTAATTGAGGCATTAAACATTAATAACAAATAATGATTTTTCTTCTTCCCTCCCAAAATGGGAAAAATGGGAAAAGGCCATTAAAACAAAGGGATAGAGGAACCCTAAGGGATGATCATACATAGTACTGGTATAAATATCATGGAGTGTTGTGGCATATTTATTAGAGCATAAGTTTTTGTGGGCAGCAGCTCACTTTTTTTTATCACAGTTGGAAGTGGGCCACATCCATCCTGATTGAATTAGCCTCATTCACACTGATGTAACACTCCCATCACTGTATGCATGCATAAATCCTTGCCCTCTAAATCTTTCACTTCATGCATCTGATGAAGGGTGTTAGTCTTTTGGGTGCTAAGGGCTCCTTGTTGTTTTTGCTAAATATTATCTTGTGTGAAATAAATATCATGGTGGGAGAAAAATTTTTTAAAGTATTCAAAAGTATAATGGGATGGAACCGAGCCTACAGGTAATTACAGACTGAGTGTCCTCAGCAAAGAAGACTGTGAAGATACATCTACATTGCACAGTTATTTCGGAATCAGCTATTCCGGAATAGTTATTCTGAAATAGCTTATTTTGAAATAGCACGTCTACACTGCAGGGAAACCTCAAAATTAATCCAAGGCAGGCTTCCCTAAAGTAGACATGCTATCTCAATTTAGAACCCCAGGAGGAATAACTTAGAATGGCCCTGGTGAGGGGCTATTTCAAAACAGCAGAAGTGGAGCATCTACTCAGCCCCTATTCTGAAATAACTATTTCGGAATAGACGTTATTCTTCATAGAATGAGGTTTACAGAAGTCAGAATAAACCATTCGTTATTTCGAAATTATTTCAAAATTGCTGAATTTCTGTGTAGATGCTCACATAGTTATTCTGAAATAACTTTGCTGTGTAGACACACCCTGAGAATGAAAACAGCGGTGGGGAAACCCCCATCTGTTGTGATATTTAGAACTAGCTGGGACAAAGCACAAGTCTATCAGAGGCTAATGTGAAAAATGACCAATAAGGTCTACTCTTTTCTATCCCCAGTTTTTACATTTCTGTGACCCAGTTTACAAGCACAAGATCAGGCTAGTAGTCCCTCTTGTCAAGTTTCCTGTCCTCTGCACAACAATGCCAAGAAGCAGGTGCTTCAGAAGAAGGTGTAAAATCCATGTAATCATTAATCATGAATAAACTACCTGTAGGGGAAGTTTCTTCCTGATCACAATGAGTTGTTAATGGCTGTTTTATGTCCTGCATCGTGAGGGTTAGAATTAGATTGTATTTTGCAAATTAACCCTTTCATTTCTGTGCTAAAATAAAACCACAATGTCCCAAATGGTTAAGACTAAGCTTGGAAATACTAGATCTGTATTGGTAAAAGTTAATAAACATTGATTTCACTATTCACACAGAAAGCAAAGAATAAATAAAAATGCAAAGTCAGAAAAATGCTGCTTGAGACCTTATTAGGGTTTGTTTTAAGGATATGTATTTGACCAGGTGATGTTGGTAATTGGTGTTTTAATGCCTATACAGCTTTAATTTTTGAATTCCCAGCATCTAATATCATTACATAATTATAGTCCGATTCCCCAGATTGTCTGACAACCCCATAATTGCCAATGATCTTGATGATTAAAACTGATAAAAATATTTTTAAATGCTTAAATATATACATCAATATTATCCCTTAAAATTATGGAAAAATAACAACTGAATTCTGTCAAGCCTTGTTCAGACTCAAACTATAGTTGCTGGCATAGGCATCAGACCACCTAGAACTAATTGCATTTCTTCTTTTTCATATAGGATCTAATACGAAGAGATATCCTGTACTACAAAGGTCGCATTGACATGGATAAATATGAAGTGGTGGATATAGAAGACGGGAGAGATGATGACTTCAACGTCAGCATGAAGAATGCCTTCAAACTTCATAACAAGGAGACTGAGGAAATACACTTATTCTTTGCCAAGAAGCTGGAGGAGAAATTGCGATGGCTCAGGGCTTTCAGAGAAGAAAGGAAGATGGTTCAAGAAGATGAAAAGATAGGTAAGGGATCAAAAATGAATGGGAGGGTGATTGTTGGTGGCTAATTCGGTTTCATGCCCTATGGGAGAAGACCATGTTACTGTGCTTTAGAATGGTAACATCCCTGACTTATCTCTTGATTGCTATGAGGAGTTGCACACTCAGAAGCTCTTAGCTTCAAGCTTTAACAAAAGGAAATTCCACAAGTTGATACAGGAGAGAGAAATCTACAGTCCCCCAGCCACTAACAGGCATCAAAGCCTCATGGCTGCAGTAGTTTCTGCCCTAGCTGTGCACTGCCATTGCAGGGAGAAAGGCAGAGGGACTCACTGACCTACCAGCTCTATCACAAAGGGTGATTGTAACCAAGATCAACATCTGGCCTATTGTCTTTTGCTCATCTATAAAGCACTGTTGTCCCTTTATGGTACTGTATGAATCATACTAAAAGTAATCATGTTTATAATGTCGCTTTTTTAAAGCAGCCTCCTCCCAAGTGCTGTTACAATGAAAGCTTTAACTTTAAAAGTGTTGTTTTTCGTTAAAATGTCTCTCAATATGGGCAGTACCACCAGACAATCATTTGCCACCCCGGGGTTATTAGCTTCATAAATGGTGCATGAAAAAAAACATTCAGAAAAAGAGTGTGTGATTTTCTGAACTCTTTGCCATCTTCCCTTTTCCAGGCTTTGAAATTTCTGAAAATCAAAAGCGACAAGCAGCAATGACAGTAAGGAAAGTCAGTAAGCAAAAAGGTAACTGGCAACATTTGTCTCGTTAGGTGAAGCCAGGGTGGGGCGGGACTTTATGCTGGGCTGCAATCCAGATTCCCTTTGGTTTTTCACCAGTCTCTTTTTTTTATCCCGTTTGTGTGTTTCATATAGTTTGTTGATGTATCCATGGGCCAAATTCATTTCTGGTGTAACCCAGTTGACACCACTGGAATTACAGCAGAGGTGACTTTGATCTCATATGTCCAGTCTAGTAGCCAAAAGCAAACCTGTGGGCTGAAACCATAGGCAATATATAGACACATTTTACCTCAGACTGAAGCAAGAGCAAGTGATACATAGAGGCTTTACTAATTCTCTGAGTCTTCCACTGGAAAAAAAGGAAAGATGGCTAAAATCCTGGAGGTGTTGCAGTCCCACCGCTCTGCTTCTTTTGAAGTGGGAGGTTCATGGAACTTGCTTACGTCTTTCTGTGAGCTCCACATAAGCTTTCAAGGGAAGCATACTTGCATCAACACCAGCAAACATACCCTCCTAGTAAAGACAGTGTGTCTCAAATAGTCCTGTAAGATCATATTCATCCTCCTCCCAGGGAAGAGTACAGTCAACCAATCAGAGTCAGGTCAGATATTAAATTGATAAGCCACTGGCCAAAGTTAATAATCAGTTCTGATCATTCTTATAGCTGCAGGTTTTGTAGTGATAAATGTTGGAAAAAGTCAGAGAGGAGTCATAGAAACAATATTTCAAGACAGGGAGTCTTCTGAAAAAGTATGAGAGGTCAGAAACATACCATTTAGTTATCAAACTATCGTGGCACATACAGGTTTCCAAATGGTTTAATATTGTGGAAGCAGCACAAGACTAATTGGATACCTTCAGTCTCTAGCTGACCTCTCCCAGTTCTATAGCTTTTACAGCTCTATGTTAGCATTTCCAAACAAACAATGTTCTAAACCATTAATAAGTTTCGAGCTCTCTTCCTTACCTGTTTGTTACATTCTGCCTGGTGATCCAGAAGTGCTTTGTTAGGCCCCAGGCCTGCCAACAGGTGTGGGGGGTAGGGGGGAGAGGAGGGCTAAGAGAGCAGTTACACCAGGGCCCAGTGATACAAAAGAGCATATAATTCTCAGCTGCTACTGCAGCAGCAGTGGTAGCCAGAACCCTGAGCCCTTTAGATCCCCATAGAAAGTGCTGTGCTGCACTTTTCATGCGGCTCTGAGAGCTGGAGGGGAGCACACCTCAGTCCGGGCAGTGCTGAGGGCTGGTTGCCTGAGCCATATCCCGTCTTCCCAAGGCCCCTGCCCCTTCCCAGGGTGCAGAGCCAGCCCTCTCCCCAACCGGGACCTGGTCTAAGGTCCTGGCAAGGTCTGTCAGCCCCGCTGGTAGGCCCAGTGTGAACCCATTGTTCTGTGATGTTCCTGCACTATTGTTAATGATCTACTACCATCTACTAGCCCAGGAGTGGACAATAATTTTTAATGGGGAAGGCACTCCAAGATGGTGGCAACTGGTCAAGGGCCACACTTCTATGGAGAGGGTGCAGGGTCTGCGATGGAGGTTGGGTTTGGAAGGGAGCTTGGAGTAGGAGATTGAGGTGTAGGAGAAGTGAAGAGCCTGAGAAGGAGTTTGCGTTAAGGAGGGGGTTGTGATCTGGGGCCGGGGCTTGGGGTGCAGGATCCAGCAGGGGGCATGAGAGATGATTCTGGTCCAGGGGAGGACTCCTAGGAAAGGGTGCAGGGTCTGACCTGGAGAAGGTAGGAAGAGGGGATATAGAGGGTTTGGGTAGTGGCCAGGGACAGGTAGTTGTGGGAAGGGAGGAAGTAGGGTGCCAGAGGCAGGCTCTGGCCAGGAGGCGCTTACCTAGGCAGCCTCCCAACCAGCAGCCCTGCATGAATCTGAGATAGGCTCCCTGGCTATGTCTACACTGCAGGCTTCTTGCGCAAGAACTTGCCGAGCGTCCACACTACAAGCCCGTTCTTGCGTAAGAAAGTTTACAGTAGATCATCAGAAGAGAGGGCTTTTTGCGCAAGAGTAATTCCTCTCCCCACAAGGAATAAGCCTTTTTGCACAAGAGCTCTTGCACAAAACCTAGTGTGGATGGGAAGAGGGGTTTCTTGCAGAAGAAACCCCTATGGCTAAAATGGCCATCAAAGCTTTCTTGCACAAGAGAGCATCCACATTGCCATGGATGCTCTTGTGCAAAAGCAAATCTCTTGCACAAAAACACATGGCAGTGTGGACACACTCTTGCACAAGAACTTTTGCACAAGAACTCTTGCGCAAAAAGTTCTTGCGCAAGAAACCTGCAGTGTAGACATAGCCTCTGGCTGTCTGCTGAAGTCCCACACTGGTCAGCTGGCTGCTCCATATGGCTCTGCTCTGGGCATGGGGGTAGGAGCAGAGGGAAGGAGGCTTCACATGCTGTGCCTGTCCCCAGCAAAATTTCTCAGCTCTTATTGGCTGGAAATTGGCCAATGAGAGCTGAGAAATTTTGCTGGGGGGTGGGGCAGTGCATGAAGCCTCTCCTTTCCTCCCCAGCATCCAGAGCAGAGAGCAGTCAGCCATTTAAAGCATGAGCTGCGCTGTACCTAAGGGTCCTGGTGAGGCGGTCATGGTCTGGATCTGGCAGCTTGACGGCCAAATTCAGCCCACGGGCCACATCATTTTCACCCTGTCCTAAACCCTAGGGGTGTCCTCTGAGTTCTCTAAAAACTCCTATTGCCACATTTTCAGAATGAGAAATATGCAAAAAACACACTTGGGTGCCAGGTGTATGCACCTCATCACTGGAACAGTGCACAAGAAATGCACATTAAAAAAATCAGTTTTGCATCTAATTAATCACTTGGATGGGCACAATTCTGAAAAATTTCCCCTTCACCATCTTTTTGCACACTGACTCCAGAGCATGCAAACAGTTCACTGAAATCATACTTGCTGGAAAATTGCAGAATCTGTGACTCAAATGGCAGCCACAGCAAATCAAGTTATAATTATTACTAAAGAAATTGTCAGCTGAAGTGTGCCTTAGAGTACATACGAATATTTCCAATTAAACTGCTGTATTTCCATCCTGACACACTCATATCCCTTAACTATATTTCAGTTTTACATAGCAATTGCTCTCTCTCTCTCTTTCTCAGTGAGAAAAAACAAAAGGGGAGGGGAGTTTTAATAGCCCAGTCTCTGTGCTATAAAAGTAATTAGCTCCCCCATTCCTAGAACATCAGTTAGCATCTCCCTTATCCAGAATGACCTTCCGCTCTAGCATTAGGAAATCTTTTTATGATGTGAAGTCCTTGAGTATGACAGAAACTCATTCTGACTTAAAGCATCAAATGGAGCAAAGTCCAATTGTTTTACCTAAAAAATTAATTCTGAAATAATAACAAAATCCGTTACACAGCTTCATTAAATTAGCAGCTCTGCCTCTTCTGTATTGCCTTGTGCTTCAGTGATCATAGCATACTCTCAAGTTAATTAAATTGAGTACTGATAAAGTAAATTTTGTAAAGCCAAACCCTTGCTAAATACTATCAAATCCAATTGATTTTATTACCCCATAGAGTGTGGTTTGATAGAATAATAGACTTGTAAAGTGAAAGGAATCTTAAGGGGTCATCTAGTCCAGTCCCCTGCACTCAAGGCAGGACTGTAGCTAAATCATCCCTGACAGGTGTTTGTTTAACCTTTTCTTAGAAACCCTCAAAGACAGAAATACCACAACCTCCCTAGGCAATTTGTTCCAGAGCTTAACTGCCCTAACAGCTAGGAAATTTTCCCTAATGTCCAGCCTAAACAGCCCTTGCTTCAATTTAAGCCCATTGCTTCTTGTCTCGTCCTCAGAGGTTAATAAGAACAATTTTTCTTCCTTGTGCCAACCTTTTATGTACGTGAAAACTGGTATCATGTCCCCTTTCAGTCTTATCTTCTCCAGACTAAACAAAACCAGTTTTTCAATCTTCCCTCATAGGTTATGTTTTCTAGATCTTTAATATTTTTATTGTTTCTCTGTGAATTTTCTCCCATTTGTCCACATCTTCCATGAAATACTCCAGTTCAGGCTTCATCAGCTCAGAGTAAAAACATTACTTCTCATGTCTTGCTTATATCCCAGACTAATGTTTGCTTTTTTTGGCAATAGTATTATGCTATTGCTTCATTTTTAACTTGTGATCTACTATAATCCTCAGATCCCTTTCCACAGCATTCCTTCCTAGGCAGTCATTTCCCATTTTGTATGTATGCAATTTTGTCCTTATTGAATATCATCCTATTTATTTCAGACCATTTTGTCCAACTTGTCCAGATCATTTTGAATGTTAATCCTATTCTCCAAAGCACTTGCCAACTCTCCCATCTAGGTATGATCCACAATCTTTATTAGCATACTCTCAGTGCCATTAGCACTGAAGATCTTGAAAAGAACTGGACCCAGAACTGTCCCTACAAAACTTGAAATGCCCTTCCAGCTTACTTGTGAATCACTGATAACTAGTTTTCCAATCAGTTATGCACCCACCTGATAGTAGCTTCATCTAGGTTGTATTTCCTCAGTTTGCTTATGAGAAGGCCATGCGAGGCAATTATCCAAAGCCTTAGTAAAGTCAAGATATACCACAGCTACCACTTCACTCAGTCCCTCATCCACAAGATTTGTTACTTTGTCAGAGACAGCTGTTCTGTTGGTTTGACATGGTTTGTTCTTATCACTTTATTATCCTCCATGTGTTTGCAGGTTGCTTTTGCACAATACCCAAAGACTAGCTCTCGCATAAACAATCCTATTGATCAGTGGGAGTACTTAGGAAGCACTACTCAGCATGAGGAAGGGTAGCAGAACTGGATTCCTAGTTATTTCAGTTTCAGGGTGCTTTTGTTGATTTTTCTTGTAATCATTTCATACGTATTTGAAATGTATCCCAATGAGGCTTTCTCCTAAGGCATTAATAAATACTTGGAGACTGTGTGTTAGGGTATGTCTACACTACCCTCCTATTTCGAAATAGGAGGGTAATGTA